TTACCGCGTTATATCCGAATTCATGTTATATCGGGTCGCGTTATATCGAGGTAGAGGTGTAATAGGAAAATACGGTAGGTGTTTTAAAGAAGGGCTTTGTGAACAGACACTAGCGCTTAAATCTTATTTTAGTTTGATTCAATGTGAATATTCTCACACAGTCATGTTGTCTATTGCTTCTGTGTTTTAATTTGTGAAAAATGTTATGTTCTTTATGTATCCTAGAAGTTTGCTAAAGCATAGTCTGTCAGTAAACTAGTAGCCTATGATCCTGAAAATTCAGTTGCAATGTTTAAACAGTTGACTGTTACTATCAACACTTGGATCACAGGGAATGTGTGCTACTGCCCTTACCATTTTGGTGTTGGATTTATAGAGATGTCTCAAATGTACATCCAGCAAATGTGAACACTGTTATAGTTGCATCCTCTTACAATGATATAAACTAACTTTTTAAACGCTCTTGCCTAAAACTCAGTTGAATACCATTTTATGGAAAATCTTTTCTTTTTGTGTAATTGTGGTCAAGTTTATCAGATAGTGATGACACTAACACACTAAGCAAATTTTCATATATGCATTTACATTACTACTCATACAACAGTTTCCTGTGCCATCTAGCTACTCTTACTTTGAAACGTTTCCTTTTTTCTTTTCCTAGTTCATGCCAGAACCCCAAAACAGAGAGAGAATACAGGCTGCTCCCTAAGGCAGCAAGGCACAACTCACCCCGCCTTGCTTTAAGCTGTCTTTTTAGGACTGTCTCCTGTGCTTTGCTACAGAACACCCTAGGCTGCAAGCAGGAACAGGAAACAGCCGCCCTCTTTCTCACACTCTTAACTTGATTACTTGCAGTTCCAACACAGTCCTCAATACACCACACTGTACTCTTACTAAAGAACATCTCTAGTTGTAGTAACACTAAAATTTTAAGAAGCCAGTTAAAGCCTGCATTCTTTGGTGCTTCTGTTTTGAAAAATAGTAATTTGGAAGGCGGAGGTAGGTTTCTGCCTCTAACTGCCCAGAGTAGGTACCCTTTTACCCTCTTAGTATGTTACTGTTTAACCAGAAGTAGTCAGTTGTGTTACTGCAGTTATATATATGAATTCTTTTTATTGTAAATACTATTGTCTACTTTGGTTGTAAATGGTCATGTTACTTTAGTATTGAAACAGCTTATTATTTAGAGCTTAATATTTGGTCTCTACAAAAATATGAGTAGAACTAAAGATAAACACATTTTATCAATAAATTCTAATTTTTCTAAAAAGCCATGGCCCTAAATAGCTTCCCTATATTTAGGTAACTTAGCCTCTTGTGTATTAATGGGAATCTCTGTATATACTCAGCTCCATTCTGGAGGTTGGATGAATCCAGGTGAAGCCAGTAGAAGTGGATAACTCCACATCACCACGTGAGCATCACTGATATGCTCTGACTTTTCCTACCTTACACGATTTTATACACAGGGTAAAAGTGGACCTACATACTTGTCTGAAATTCCTTCAGAAAGTTGTATTGAATCTCCATTTTAGTTTGTCATTGGCCATTATTTTTTCTAGACATTTCAAATTCATTATGAAGAAATCAAATTCCAGAAACTTTATTTGGTCTCATGGATTCTATCTTTAGACCAGGAATGTGGCCTGTGAATAAGCACCATGTCCAACTAATTGTCCTGTACCATTTCTTACATCACTGTTGTTACTATGCTTCTTCAATGGGATTGTATCATGCTAACATTATGAAAATCATTGCCACTTGAACATTAAGAGCCTGATGCCCTGCGTGTTCAGTATCTTGCATGCAAGATCTGGCTCTCTGCCACAAATATATCAGATACTGTGGTCAGCCTCTGTCCATTTACTTACCTTGAATATGCCTTCTATGAAAAACTCATGACATTATCTAATCTTGCCAAACAAAAATTGCTTGGTCACTGCATCAACCAGTGAATGCATATTTGATATCTTTATTCTGCAAAATTCTTGTTTTAAGCTGAGAAGCCCAACTTTTTCTGTTGGGATCTCTCTGCCTAGTCTCTTCTGCTCCTTAGTATCCACAAATAATTTTGTTTGTTTGGTATACAAAAGAAAATTGCTTGCTTTTTGTTTTTTGAAGGAACAGTATTTTCAGTTATTTTCTATTATGCTGTCTCAGATTCTTTCTCAAACATTTTGATACCATGTCTGTTCAACACTCACCAGGTGCTGCAGCCCGAACATCCAATGCTGAACGACAGTGGTACCATCTATCTGGTTTCTGTTAGAATAAGACATTAGTTTCCTGTGCTCCAGGGTGTGCTTTTGAAATGTTCTTCTGTGTGCCCATCTAATGAGATCAGCACCAACATTTGGGCAAATGTGAGGTCCTACATCTCGGAACAAAGAACGCTGGTCATACTGGATGGCAAATTCTATCTTGGGAAGCAGTGACTCTGAAAGAAGGCTTAGGGTTATGGTGGATCCTTAGCTGAGCATGAACTCACAATGTTCCACTGTAGCTAAAAGGGCTAATGTGATCCTTGGATGTATAAATAGGGGAATCTCCAGTAGGAGTATGGCAATTATGTAATCTGTATTTGGCTCTGGTGCTGCTATTACTGGGATATTGTGTCCAGTTCTTGTGTCCACAGTTCAAGAAAGACATTGATAAATTGGAGAGGGTTCAGAGAAGAGCCACAAGAGTGATTAAAGGACTGGAAAAAATGTTTTTAATGATAAACTCAAGGCACTCAATCTATTTAGTTTAACAAAAAGAAGGTGAATGGGTGACTTGATTACAGTCTATAAGTACATGTATGGGTAATAAAAAAATTATAATGGGCTCCTCAGTCTGGTATAACAAGGTCCAATGGCTGGAAGTTGAAGCTAGACAAATTCAGATTGGAAATAAGGTGCTAATTTTTAACAGTGAGTGTAATTAACTATGGTAACAATTCACTAAGGGTTGTGGTGGATTCACTATCATTGACACTTCTTAAATTAAGATTGGATGTTTTTCTAAAAGATACTCTTGTTCAACCACAGCTATTGTTCAACCACAGCTATAGCAAGAATTAATTCAGGGAAGTTCTATGGCCTGTGGTATGCAGGAGGTCAGACTAGATGACCGTAGAGGTCCCTGTCCCTTCTGGCCTTATAATCTATGAATAAGTGATAGACATTCCCTGTTGTATTGTTTAATTGGGAGGACATATCCTAAAATATGTTGCAGTCAAACAGAAATCTGATTACAGCATTTACTAACTTATTTGCAAGGGCAATCATACAGCATAGAAAACAACATAAAAATGGAATATATAGGGAACCCCACTGTTAAAAACTAGATCTCAGCTCTGTTCTTGCTATTGGGAAAGTTTTGTTGTTGAGATGGCTGAAAGCTAAAACTTTAAAAAGTTTACAAACACCCCTATTTAGAGATGCTAGCCAATCTCCTTTTACCTCAGTAGAACTCAGATGACACACCAGTGATTAATATCATTGTGAAATGTATGTACGAGCACTAGATGAGGAATCATGGATACTCATTGATACAGACTGCCCGGACAGGAGGGGATGTCAGAGCTAACTACCTGTCTCCTGTGAAAATTAAACCTGATGGAATCAGAAACAGAATGGAAGGCTCATTTACATAGAAATCATACGAGGGGATGCGAAGCCCACAGGAAAGGAAGAAAAGCAGCCTGCCTCTTGAAATAAGTTTATTGAACTTTGGGAGCCAACTTTACATCCATCACTAGACAGACACAAGGGAACAGAGCTTTTGCAAGCTGAGAAAAATGGGTTCTTCAATCAAGCAGGGTGGGGGCGCTAAAGCCTCTGGAACTAAATATAGGCAATAAGACCTAGGTTCTCAATGTTTTTGGATAGAGACCTTCCATGCCCACCACTCTGTCAGTAGCTGAGTGCTCCAGCACCTCTCTGTGTCTCATCATGCCATCTCCTAATTCATTTGCCACTGTCTCTCCTTTTAGCTCTCTGTTTTCTCTATGAAGTCGTCTTTATACTCTTTTTAACCCTCCAAGTATATTTTAATTTTCATTCTCCTCCCCCCCCCTTGGTTTTTGCTACTCCCTTCCTACCTGCTTCCCCTCTCCATTTCTGCTCTCACCAAAAAGTTACATGCTGCTTGGGGTAGGGCGACATCCTTTGTTGGCTGTGTGGGGGTAGACAATATGTGTTCTTGCAGCTGACCTGATTGCTGCAGGAAAAGAATGGAAAAACTTTGGCTAGAGACCTGCTGCCCAGAGCACTGTTTTATGTGAATGTTCCCAGGGCCAGCTGCATTATGGGGATGCCAATAGAGCAGGGACCTTTGAGTTGCTGCCTGCTGTTTTACCCAGAGAGCTTGTTACAGTGAGAAACTAGAAGTGGATGTCATGCAGCTTTCCCTCCCCCTGCTGCTCCTCTGTTGTACATTGTGCCCCCAGACTAGTCTGTTGCCTCCCACGGGAGCCAGGTGTGGTGCCTTAGAGTCACAATGTTGGGCAATGAATCAAGCAATGTAATTTCCAAGAGTGGTTTGTGATGGTCTGTGCAGGGTTACTGACCTTTAGAAAAAGAAAGTAAATGTATTGTTCGCTGAAGGTATTGAAGACTCATATTCATCACTGCCCCCATCCATCATGAATTTAAGGCCTTAGGCTACATAGGAACTAATAGAAACTACAACATGATCCAAGATCCAAGAGAATAGATCTGTGGATACTTAACAGAGAGAACAATGAAAGAGAAGTTTTCTCCTCTTACGCAGCAGGAAAAGGAATGATAGTGCAATTTAGCACTGCAGTTATCCTATCTATTTCAAGATGTACTTGTGAAGAAATAATTTCACAAGTGCAACAGCATTACAAGAAAATAAACAAGGGGAAACTGTTTCTCTGCTGTTTCTCATTCCCTTCTCCCTATACAGCCGTTACTGAGTGGCTTTCGTGTCTGGATTTCTAACACAGTCTGTTTTGTCACTCTGTGCCAAATGATTCTTATAAACTCTCATAGGTTGCCCCAGCAGAGGGACTGGTGTCCATCCTAAAGAAGAGAGATGACAGTGAAGGAAAGACGCTTGCTCAAATCCAGCAGAGAAATCCAAAGAGAAGAGTGAGATTCCAAGAAATGGAAGACACCTTGGATCAAGGTAGCTTGCCTATGTTAATTTGTGTTTTCATAGTATACAATTACAAACCATATCTGTGCTTTCATTTGTTAAATAAGAAAAAAAGCAGGATTTAAACCAATTATTGCTATTGTCTGCCCTGTACTGGCTTGCTAGCTATTCTCCATGCAGTGATAGTAGCAATGGACTGTACTAAAAGTTATTCTAGAAATATGCAAAGGCTTTTGTGCAACAAGTTAGTTAACCAGAACAAAGGGAAACTTTTAAATACATTTTTGTTGTAAACCAGAGCTCCCAGCTTTGGCTGGGGCTGAAGGAGGGATGCTGCTCTCTCTTATGACTGACAGCTTTCTCCTATCTGGATTTCCCTTCATTTAATTTCTAATCCTTAAAAGTGGAAGAAGTAGGTTTTTGTTCATTAATCTAACCAGCATGTCAAAAAAGCAATGCAAAAAACCTGCATGTTTGTTTTCCCTTGCATAGCTTGCCCTCCAGGATAACCAGGCCTGCTCAGAAACCACAGTTGTAGGACTATGGGATTGGAAGGCTTGAGGCTTTAATCTTGTTTTATAATTACTAACACGGGTGTCAATATGTTTGCAGTTGAAATATGGTTTAAATTATGTTTAATGCATCCCTGTTTACTGATGGGTTAACTAACTGGGGAAATCCTTACTTTGCTGTCATTACTGGAATGAGTTTTACTACAGTCCATCACTGTCATCACAGCACCTTATCACAATCGTGGCAGCAATAAGGGCTGGTCTACACTTTGGAGGGGGGGATCGATCTGAGGGCTAGTCTACACTACCCACCTGGATCAGCGGGTAGAAATCAATCTCTCGGGGATCGATTTATCGCGTCTCATCTAGACGGATAAATCAATCCCCGAATCGACGCGCGTACTCCCACCTCGTCAGGAGGAGTAAGCGCCGTCGACGGGGGAGCTGCGGCGGTCGATTTGCCGCCGTCCTCACAGCGGGGTAAGTCGAATAGGATACGTCGAATTCAGCTACACTATTCGCGTAGCTGAATTTGGGTATCTTAAATCGGACCCCCCCCCCCCCCAATGTAGACCTAGCCTAAGATACGCAACTTCAGCTACGAGAATAGCGTAGCTGAAGTCGACGTATCTTAGATCGACTTACCTCCCATCCTTACGGCACGGGATCGATGGCGGCGGCTCCCCCGTCAACTCCGCTTCCGCCTCTCGCCCTGGTGGAATTCCAGAGTCAACGGGGAGCGCGTTCGGGGATCGATTTATCGCGTCTAGATGAGACGCGATAAATCGATCCCCGATAGATCGATTGCTACCTGCCGATCTGGCGGGTAGTGAAGACGTACCCTTTGAGTCACTCCACACTTTAGCAGGATGGGGGCCCAAAAAGATCTTTCGCTGTTACTGTATCTAGCCAAAACTTTTCTTATTTTGAGGCCATTGCTCCTCCTTGTCTTATTGTCATCTGAGACTTGCCAAAATCATCTAACCAAAAAACAGTAGAATTTATATTTGTATTTAAAATATTTACTGATGGGGCAGGAACTCATGGTTTGTCTTTTTCAGGGCTGAATGACAGATTGTGTTGTGGTGATTCCCAGAGGGAACCAATCCTGGCTCCTCTTCCTCTGAGAGGGGCAGGGCACAAGGATTCTGGGGATTCAGGGAATTTGTGTCTGCTCCTTTTCCTGTGCTGGGTGGAGGTGTCAGGTATCCTGGCTCCTCCTCCCAAGTATTGCAGGTGTCCTGGCTTCTCCCTACAAGTGAAAGTGATTGGTCCTTTGTGGTCTGGAAAGAGGAAGTTTGCAGCTCCTTTCTGAGTTAGTGAGGGTGAGGTTTGGTATTGGGAGGTCCCATTTCTCAGCCTCTTTGAGTGTACGCCATGGTTGGGGCTGTTTCTCTTCTTTGCAGAAGTTTCTTCAAGGCCCTGTGGTCAGGTTGAAGGATGAGGGAGTGCAGGGGTTGAGTCCAGTAGTGGAAGGATCCATCTCCCAGTTCTTCAGGACTGTTTGGCACCATGGTCAGGAATGAGTGCAGGAAGTGGCTCCTCTTCCCTTAGGAGCTCCCAATGCTTGAGGCTTCGAGAAGTCAGATGCTGGCCACTACATGTCTGAAAAGATGCCACTCTACACACACAAAAGCTTTGATTGTCTGTAGGCATAATGGGAAAGGGAGCTGAGAATAACTCAGATTTACTTGTCAATTTATTTGATTTTCACCATAAACCATAGGAGGGACCAAAAACCAATAGACTATGGAAGGCCAGGGGCTATAGAATAACAGGCATAATAATTACCTTTGTTTATTCCTGTTGTTCCCCTGAAGATACATTATCTCTTAATTCTTCTCTTAACTAGACTATTTGAATTCTTCTCCCCTTAGTATCTCCTCTTGTGTAGATAGTTTGGAAAACACTATATTGGGAGTGCAGAGGGAAGAAGAAAACCCACTCTGTTGGGAGTAGAGGCATAACACTAGATTTTAAATTGGTATAAGTGATTATGAGACTGTCGGGGATATTCTCTTGGCGGAATTGCCACATAGTGTTGAATATTTTATTAGCAAAGGAAATTAGCTAGGCAGTGACTTCAACAGATTTTGGAGCAAGGCAGCGTTTTGTAACCTACCAGACAAATAATTAGAAATATTTATAAAGGGTCACTTTCAGCATATTAGATCTTGTGGCTCCCACTGTTGCACTAACATTAAAATTCTCCATCTACCAAGAAAGTGCTGGGATAAAGTTTCTCCCACAATGTATTTTTAACTTGCCATGGGAATTTATCAGTGCATTACCCTATTACAATTCTGGCATCCAGGGATTTTTAAACATAGGTAAAATGAGTTGAAGCATGGATCAAAATATTGTAACATTCATTGGGCCAAATTCATCTCTGCTGTAAATCCATTGCAAACAATGGAATTAACCACTGGAGCAATTTACTTAGGGATGTGGTAGATTCTCTGTCACCTGAAGTTTTTAAATCAAAATTAGATGTCTCTCTTAAAAATATGCTCTAACTCAACCAGAAGTTATGGGCTTGATGCAGGAATTGCTTTGTGCAATTCTATGGCCAGTGTTACACAGGAGTTTCGATGAGGTGATCATAAAGATCCCATATGGCCTTCAAATCTATGAACACTGAGAATGACTGTGGCCCCTTTTTTCCAGGTGGTACCTATGCTGTGTTTTAGTTGTACTGCGTGTAAGGTTATAACTTCTGGTTTGCTAACAAACTCTAAGTCCTGCAGAAACAGATAATTTCTTTCTCCGTGTAAAGTCACCTTTTATTAGAACTGGTTTGGAATTTTGTGATGAAACATTTTTTTCATCAGAAAAGCCAGATCACTGAATCTGAAGTTTTTCATGCGAACATACCAGTTTCAACAAAAGATGAATCGGGAAATGGTTTCTCAGGTATAGGATGGAATTTCTAGTTCAAACGAGAGATTCCCATCACAAAACAGCCAGTAACCCACTGGTTTATGGCACTCACCTGGGGTGTGGGATGCCAGGCTCAAATCTCTGATCTGTCTGATTTAAAGCAGGGAATTGAGCCTGGGTCCCCACATCCCAAGTGAGTGTCCTAACTGCTGGGCTACAGCATCAGTCTCTCTCTGGCCCAATAACTATTTATGTATACCAACTGGAGCAGCTCTAACAGGATAGATTGAGAGAGACCCACCCCAGAATAGCCAGTAGCCTGGTGGGATGTGAAAGATGCAGCTAGCTCTCTCTCGTTCTCTCTCTTTCATCAAACAACTTTGATAGGTTTTGGTTTTGTCCTGATGTGAAATGGGAAAATTTTCAAAATCTCAAATGCTTATGGGATGGGAAAACCCATTTCCTGCCCAGGTCTACCTTTATTGCTGGGAGTTATGTTCCCAGTGCCCAGTGGAATCCTTAGTCAGTAAATATTATCTTATAGTCGTGATCCATTTTTATGGTGATAACTAAAAACACTGTAATATTTTTTTAAAAAGCTAACGTTATTCACTAAATCAGCAATCTCATGATCTTACATTGTAACTTTTCTTTTCTCTTCCCTCTAATCTTCACCTTCTCACTGTGTTCTAAGATAGGCTGTAAACTTTGGGGGACAGACACTGGCTTAAATATCTGAAAAGTGCCATGTACCCTTATGGCGCTGTATAAATAATTAATGATAATCATTTTCAGGGTATCCTTTGCATACTTCCCACTTGTATGGATGTTTGTCCCCCGCAGCTGCAGAAACTTCTGGAAAGCAGATCTCTTTGAAGCCACACAAATGCCCTCTTGCAACACCAAAAGTTCAGAGCTTAGGTTATAACAGGTCCATGTAGCTCCAGCTACCTCGATTCCTTCCTTCCAGTGGCTAGGGTAGGAACTTTTTCTGTGCCCAGAGGGGTTTTTTTTTTGGTCAGACTTGTATTTTTCACTAAATAATTCTTATTGTAAATATTTTTGAATAGTTGTTAGTTTTAGATAGTTTGTACGTATCTTTTAGGTAATTCTGTACTATTGTACAGTTAAATTTCTGAATCAGTACAATCTGAGTTCTAGAGGTCAAATTCTGCTCTGTGATTCTGGGGCAACTCCAGACATCGGTACAGAACATTGGAGTTACTAAGTAGAATTTGGCCTTGTATTATAAACTGTTTAGAGTGGATTTACAGCAAATGGTAAGCTTTGTCTTCTGATATTGCATACAATAGCTGTAGCTAAGTCATTTCATTCTTGTTGCTTTGGTTAGCCAAAACAGAGTACAAGTAGCATCCATAAGAATAATATTGTAAATAAGATCTTGCATGGCAGTGGAATTATTCTAGGTCTGTAAAATGTATATTTTAAGATACAAGCATAATCCTTTTTCTCCAAGAGTCAAATTTTCCTGGCCCAATATCCACAGTTGACATGGGATCCACTGAAACATTTTGCCTCAAGTAATGTGCCTTTAATCCAGAGAAATCACTGAGAAAATTTCGGTAACTCCTCCTCAGTAGCATGTTTATATTGTACCCAAGATCCCAAACCTTAAAAACTGTCTGGTAGGTTACAATATATACCTGATAAAACAGCAAGGGGAAATATGTCTATAGCTCCACTTATTCTTATGTGATTTTTTTCCCCCTCTTCTCTCTGTAGCCACAACGATCTAAGGACCTAATAGTGAGAGAGGTGTTGAGCCTCTGCAACTCCACTTAAGTCAGTGGGAGTTGCGTGGCTATGCCATTTCTTAATATTTAAAAATGCTTCCTAGCCATGTTTCAGCCTTCACATTTATAATATAATCTGGTTTCTAATGCTGTTAGATAAAAGCCAACTATCAACATTTAGATCTTGGCTAGAAAACAGCTAGAGAAAGGAGGAAATGTCTAACATTTATTCTAGATCTGTTTCTACTGTCTGTTCCAGGGAGTTTTTACTACAATAGCACCTATGCCAGGATTAGTGCACCATGTTACTAGGCACTGTGGAAACTTATAGTAAGACATAGTCCCTGCCCAGAAGAGTTTACAATCCAAATAACAAAAGGGCTAGTTTATATTGCCAAATGGAGCAAAGGGGTTCAAAATGGAAACAGACTTTGGTTATTTTCATTATCTTTATGCAGGAGGGGCAGTGAGATGTTTTTTAAAAAGTGAAGCGTTTTTGTAAAAAAATAATAATTTACAATTGAAGAAGGAATTCAAATATCTGAAATTCTTGATTTTACAATTTACAGCATAAATATCCAAAAATAGAGGTTTTTCTCTGAGAATCTAGCAAAGTATTATTTTATAGCTATTAGTTGCAGAGCTTAGAGCATTCCTGGGGTACAAGGTAATTGAAGGGATAAAGGAAAGACTGCAGATAAAGGTTCTTGATTTATGTTTCTGTTGTCATCACTGAGGGCATCTTTACACAGGATAATTAATCCTGTCTAAAATAATGTGTGATTTTTAAACCAATATAGTTATACTGCTGTTACACTGGTGTGGACACTCTTATTCCAGTATAAGAGGGCCTTTTTTTGGTTTAGCTTATGTCACTTGGGAAGGGATTTAAGCTAAACCAAAAAAAAAAAAGCCACTTTTATACTGGAATAAGTGTGTCCACCTGGGGATTTATACTTGTATAACTATATCAGTTTAACTACACCAATATAAACTGGTAAAACTTTCCTGTGTAGACAAGCCCCAAGTGGCAAACTTTTCAGACTAGAGCTAAAAGATCTCTACTGCTTGAACTGAAGGGGAATTCTTGTAGCTACCAATACTGGGATATCCTTTATTCTCGAATGTGCCAGCTACTCGAGAGCAGTGTTGTTGTTAAACCTGAACCCTTTCAGGTGGTTGTTGCATACAAATGAAAAGACACATTCTCTCCCCCAAAATGTTTATAATCTAGAGCTGGCCATTTTTCTCCCTGTGAAAAAATTTGAACAGAAACTTTTTATTTGAAATTTTTCATTTGAAATGTGTCCGAAAAATTTTCCGGGAAAAAGGCAGTAAAATTGTATGGTAGTAGAACTAAACAGGTGTGTGAGTGTTTGCAGGGTCATGGTCTAAATATGAAAAGACTCAAGAAGAGGACAGGAAAAGGAGAACAGGTGTTACAGAATTACGGTCATATGACTAATGATGGGTTGTCATATTGGTACAGAAACACATACACACAGGGGGGGTTTTTTTTGGTTTTTGAATGTACTATAATTTGTAGTAATTTTTTGTCACTTTGACACGCACAGCCACAGTACCTGCCATACTCCCCAATCCTCCAGTTAGACAAATCTCAAATTTCTTCCGAGATTTCATATGGCTAATATCAATAAGTACAAAGTTTATGTGTAGTCTTTTATTTTATCCACTGTATGTCATGTATTTTATATTTACAGATGAAGTTGGTGGCGGCTCCTGTATTTTGCTGATCCTGTTGTGCATAGCAACTGTTTTCCTTAGTGTTGGAGGAACTGCACTGTACTGCACCTTTGGTGACATGGAATCCCCTGTATGTACTGACTTTGCAGCCAACATGGACTTTTACTATACCCAGATATTGCAGGGTGTGGAGGAACTTAAACACTGGGTAGCCTTCACATAGTTGAAATGAGCAGGGACAACACACTGACAGCTTACCAATGATTACCAGAGAGGTTAAAAAAAAAATGGTGATTTCAAGTTTTCTGTAATATGTGCCACCTTCAGGTGAGGTACAGCTGATGACATAAACCTTAACCTTTAAATACCAGTTGAGAAGAACTGTCTACTCTAGTAATCAGGTGGGGAGAAATCAAGTATGGAGCGGGAGAATAATAAGCAAAATGTCATTGCCTTCACCTTCTGAAACCAAGCGAACAGCCATTCAACATCTTGGGAAGTGAAGAATATAGAAAACTGATTAGCCTCTACACAGTCTCCCATTGCCACACATTCTAAGCAATCTTTGCAATCTTAATGAAAGGACAATTTTGATTTACAGCTGTTTGCACAAAAGTGTTGCCTCCAGCTATCATGCAATAAGTCTGTGTTTTATGAAAATGTTTCCTTATTTTTCTTTTAAGTCTTAATGTATCTTTTCATTTTAAATGTCCTGGTGAGCTGTTTAATTATGGGTGGAGTGAGGAGAATGCATTGGCATTTGCAGTGCCCTCATACTATGTTAGTTAAATGGATTGGCCTTATGTCTTTGTGTGTGACAGTTGTCATGAGTGGGTTAAATCTGAAGGCAGATTTGCCAAATTCTCTGGACTTTTATTCCCCAAATTGGATGACAGTGTTGGAAATTTGTGGGATATTTTAAAAAGAAAATTCACTCCCAGCACACAATACTAAATGTAGGAATTTTTTCTTACTAATAATAGTAAAGCCGCTTGGGCCAATGAAAGGGAATGGGACTAGGAGTCAGGATACTTGGGTTCTCTTTCTAGCTTTACTACTTGCTTGCAGTGACTTCTCTGCCTCAGTTTCCCCCTCTGTAAAATGGAGATAATGATCTTTGTCCTCCTCTGTAAAATGCTTTAAAATCTACAGATTGAGAATGGTATAGAACTGTGTGGTGTTATTATTTATAAGTGCAAAATGTCCTGAGGTTTTGTTCAACCTGGCATATAGCCAAGACCAGCTGGAAAGTTCAGAGCCAAACTTTTCCAGATTTCCACCTCTGAGCTTTACTGAGTCATTTTGAATAAAATTGACTCTATTACACCAAGTCTTGTTCTCAGGGGAAAATCCTCTCCATCTCTGTGACATTTTATTTCACCCTGAGATCTTTCAACTCCCTCATATATTCCTATCACTCTTTTTTCATGGCGATCTACTCCCCCTAGATTTTTCTCTTCTTTTCCTGTCCAGATCCCATGTTGAGGGGAAAAAACAAATAACCAAAAAATATTTTGAGAATATATAGATATTTTCATTTTTAAAACTTGCAGTATTATTTATATGGGAGATCCCTTCATATTAATTCATCACCCAAACCACAGTATATAAACATATGAGCTGAAAGTTTCCACTAAAACAATCACCAGTGAAATAGTTTAAAATTGTGATATTTTAGTCCATCAGGGTTCATTTTGAACACATGATAGACATGAACAGCGCAATTCATACCTCTCCATATTAATTTTTAGTTGCCTTCTGTCTGCGGACTTGGGAAGGCAGAATTGTGATAATTTACATTCAAAAAGGTAATTCTGCAATGAGGGCTTGCAACATAATTAAAAAAACAATAACATTTTAAATTCCCATGTTTTAGATGTTTCCAATGTGTTTTATGGAAGAGCCCCTAGTGTTGCACTGTATCACATGTACCAGTCAGGAGAAAATATCTGAACTCAGGGCCAAATCCTTAGGTGCTTTACACACCTTCAGAAGGGCCAAAAGGGGATACTGTTCAGAGAGTCTTGGAGAACCCATTCAGTAGGATTCCACAGGTAACATTGTCAAAAATACCTAAATCCCATTTTCAAATGTGATTTAGGCACTTGGGATTTGATA